CATTTTAGATGTTGTGGATGAAACAAACGCTTATATCTTTGAATAATAAACTAATCCAGGGTAAAAATCGTGAAATTAATTATTGAAAATGAATTGAAATTCTTCCTTTCTTCCAAATTCCTTGCAGTCTTTAATTGAAATTCATTAAGTGCCGTTATCTGCATTCCTCCAAGGCTCCGATTATTTTTGTAGAAAATACTTTCTTGTCAGGAAGACTTGGCTGTCTGAAATGCATTGCGCTAAAAAGTAGTTCTTGAAGAGGTTTGCTTCACAGACGACTAAGCTTGATCCTGTTCCATAAGAAAAGGAATTTAGGATCAAGTACCACACAGGGTGTGTTGAATAAAATAACGGCATCATACGCACACTTTATCCACATCGGTCTTGATAATGGAAGTAGAATTCACTCATGTTGTTACCAATAATGATGACACAGTGGGATGTGCGAAAGACTTACCACCCCGTGGTGCACCCTGGGCAACCGGTAGTTGACTTCTGACCTCAAACTACCCTCACCCCACTGTATATCGTATTCAACCCCTTTCAATTTTACATCTGTGAATCATTATTCTCCCCCCCCCCTCTCGACATTTTCTCATTTTGATGTTCCTCCTCCTCCTCTCTGTGAAGCCCGAAGTCAGCTCCAGGACTAATGATAACTATCGAAATGCCTGGCATTTGAAATAAATAAATAAATGATGACACTGAAAGGAAGGAAGGAAAATGCGGGGTACTAATTCATCCAACCACTAGACGACGTTTTACATGATCAAATTTAAGATCAATAGGGAAGTTACCGCAAGTTGGTTGATTTAAGGGAAAGTAATAGTACTCAGGAGACTTCTTACCTTTGGCGGGCTATATGAAAGTTGTCTATAATTTGTTTGACGTGCATGTGGACCAACGAGTCACATTAATACTACTTTGCCTATGGTGATATAAGAAAGTGCTTCCAATTCATTGGTGTATTTACTTATAGCAAATGGCAGGCTCTATGATAGTTGTCATTAGGCCCTTGGTAGACTCCGGGTTTCACAGAGAGGAAAAACGCCTAAGCCACTAAATGTCGAGGGGGGGGGGGGGGGGGAAACAANGGGGGGGGGGGGGGGGGGGAGGAACAGAAGGTTGATTTACGGATGTAAAAGAGACAGACAAACGGGTAGAGAGTAGGGAAAGGTGAGCACTGTGAAAATGATCGAATATGACATACAGTGCTATCATGGCAGCTTGACGTCAGAAGTCAACTGGCGGCATATCGATTTTTTTGTTGTTTGAGTATGCGTTGGCCAGGGTGCACCACGTGGAGGTACGTCTATCGCGCACCCTACCCAAGGACTTGATGTACGGCAACTTCACTTCTCAAAAGTAGTTTCATGGCGGAACGTTTCTTCAAAAGTGCCTTACAAAAGTGCAAAGATACGAATCTTACAAACTGCTGGCAGGCCATTTTGAGCACACTTGAGTTTCATATACCAAATGAATTTGAAAGAAGTAGGCCAAATATGCAGTTATCCTTTGGAGGGAATGACATCCAAAGCCAAAGCATTTTACTTGTCGAGAACGAAATGAAAATGGAAGTTCAAATCATGATTTGCTTTTATTAATCAGCATCGTTATCTGATTATCAATTTCCCAATTATTTACCCAATTAACATCGATTCTCTTGTTGGAACAAAGATGTTTCCTTATTTTGTAGCAAAAAAATTTATTTTGATTTATTCAAATATTGGTGTTTGAATGGTATTTGCTTTATAAAAGAATTTATAAAGAAACTACCCTCTATTCCTGTGAAGATGGAGAATTTAATGGAAATTCGGATAAATGGCTAAATTCTTGAATTGACAATGTTCACAACGCCCACTGAAATGAATCAATTCATCCTAAAAAGCAGTCACGTTTTCCTTAGCTAATTCAAATTAGAAGATCTACCTAAGTGTTTACGTTCGCGTAAACAGAGATAGAAGAGCGTTAATTCAAACTTAAATAAAGGCGTTACTTACAGTCACATTATAACTGCGTCAAGTGAATATAAACATATGGGTCAGAGGTCAAGTTCCTACGTAGCCTGATAATATATTTGCTGTAAGCTGCTGGTGTGAAGTATAAGATTTAAGAAAAGCCCATTAGGCGTTTTATCACGACGTTTCAATGAGCCTAACGTATACAAGATGCAATCCATTTCTTGATTCTGCCTGCTTGATCACAAGTCAAATCAAATATGAGCCAAAAGGGGCAAATTTAGGTTTTCGTGCTTTTGCCACTTCTAGTATTCGTTCAGCATTCACCACTGTCAATCCCTTAAAATTTCACCCTTATTCGAAACATATTCGATCTAAGCACCCAACTCGTTTGTCTTTCTAATCAATTGACCCTGCGTGTACATGAATTCAAGTAACCTGGCGAAATCAGTCTTGAGTGTTTGTTCTTTCCTTTCAATGGGAAAAGCATTCAGCACGATCCGAGTGCTACTGTGGACGCTTCGAAAGATCTCCAAAAAATTCTTACAATTTTCATATTTGTTTAAACGCAGTAAAGTTCAGGGTCGTTGATTTGCATTCCTTTGGAGTAAGGCCGATTTATAATGTATTTACACGTTTTCATTAGGTGAAATGTGAAAATGATCGTTTTCGGTAATCGAAAGAAAGGTTTTATAAGCAAATTCCAATTTGCTTATAATTAAAGAGACTTGAATTTCTTATTCCTTAGAAGAAAAATGACTTTCATTAATGTTAAGAGAAGATTAAGGCGAGCCCATCTTCCTCTGATTGCAAACGTGATATTTTAGTAAGGAAAATTTTCAATAAATGCCTTCATTATATATTGATTTTCACCTTGTTTAACCACATTAGGAAATTTGAAGCGGATTGCTATACGAAAAGACCCTGACTTATGTTCAGTAACCTCTGTGAGAAGATTTCTTGGGAATGGCTTCCGAAATTAGCGTCCCTGTTTCAACGGTGTAGAAGAAACAGACGTGGAATTCGTTTATTTGGGTTGCGTGTGGAATATGTATGCCCTTGTGAAAGGAGTTGACATGGTGCTTTAGCGTTAAATACTATTTGGGTACGATGATTCTGCATTGGATATTAATCATTGATTAGTCAGGGAGTCTCCACACCCGTGACTTCGTTTGTACCTTCACGCGAATAGCATATCGTTACTTAGTTCACTTTTGTACTCCGAAAATTAAAAATTTATGACTTTTCCTATTTTTCCCCAAAAATCTTTGAGGTAATAAAATCTCCGTTAAATCCCTACATTTTCTCTTGGTTAAACCAATTATCAATTGTTTATCATTACTACGTATATGAATTAATGCACATTGAATTTGACATGTGAAGGCATTGTAATGGCACAGAGAATGTTAGAACATTAAGAAATTTAAATGCCATCAAGCCTTATAATTTTATAATGCCACTGCAACAGTTACACTTGATCTTTTTGGTTAGTTGGTTAGTAGGAACAAAAATTGCCTTTAATTGTGCGCTTGGAGTTGTAATCTGAGATTGCACCGTTTAAGTGCTTGGGAAGCAGATCCACTTTAATGAAGGTTCGAAATATTGATGGGTAGAAAGAATGAATTTTGATATTGGAATAAATAATAAACTTAAGATATACAGGAGCATATTCTTTAATGAAGACTAAGTGTTAAACATCCTTTTAACCAAATTTATTCATTTAAACTCCTTTTTCCAATCGAATTTGTAAGTTTTGGATAAAGACGGAACAGTAATCCACCTTACTAGAGAGTTTAAATTCTAAGTTGTGATGTGTAATTAATACTGAATTTGACTAATTGGAGGACAGTTGAGTAGCCTTCAAAATTATTGACGGCTTAAATTTTGTTTTATTATCTGCATCACTTATTAATAATTTTAATAGAATTTACATTTCTACCAACAGTATACGTAACATTTTACCCTAAGCCATTTCAAAATTTTCAATGATTATTATGGGAATAAGGATTAGTTGATAGTAAAATGCCCGTCTCTATAGCAATTTTTACACAATTTAATAAACTTAGCAAACTATATGAAGCTAAATGTGTGCACAGGGCATATGCATTAGTTATTAAATGCCTATAAAGGTTTAATTTTGTGTTTTAACTTCAAACGTGAGTAAGTACACAAAGAAACTATCTGACCTAAAGTCCTATTCCTTAATTCTTTCAAAATGGGAGCAATGCGAATAACCACTAATAGATACGCAAAATATTGATATTGTGAAAATGTGTAAGGTAAAACATCCAACTTAAAGCAAAAGAGAAGGACAGATCTCATTACTGTAAAAACTTTTTTGGAGTATGGTAATTAGTTGTAAATGTCATCAATCGTTTTCAGAAAATAGATATAGTTCTAAAATGTCAAAAGAGTGAAAGTAAATATTGGTGCGCATAATAATAAAGTATATTAGTACATGTAGAAAAATCGCAAAGTGGGAAAATATATAATAATAAATTGCAATAGTATAGTAGAAATAAAGTTAAAATTTATTTGTATTAAAATGAATTTGATATAATTATTTATTGTATAATTATATAATTGCTTTGAAATTTGACAATTTATAAGTACTCTTAAATGAACATTGAACTTGTTTAGACGCACTACTAAATATCGTAATATCTTGGCGTTCTATCGGAAATTGTTGATTTATTGCTAAAGGCGTATTTTTGTAGGTGCTCAGTAGTCTAAATTCTAAGTAAATAAAATAAGGTTGGAATCCTGCTTAAGTAATTTCCTTGCTTCAGATTCCTTATTAAATCAAATATATATTTGATCTTTTTTTCTATCACGGATATTTCATTAATTTTAAAATAGTATTTTTTAATTTTTTTTCTCATTTTGTTTCTTTCGTATTGAAATTTCTCATTTTTATATTCTAATACACGATTGAATATAAAATTTAAATATTTTGTGTACTATCTTTGAAAAACCCTATATAGTTTTTATTCCCTTTCAGTTCTCCACCTCCAAAATTCCTTTTTTCCTATCCTCTGAGCAATGTTTGTCCGTACGAGTAAATTCAAACACATCATTGGAAAGCCTAACAAAAAGGAATTTTGCTACGATGAGATCCGCATTACCAAAAGCAGTTGGGATTCTACTTTTTGCTCAGTTAACCCCAAGTACCTAGCCATTATTACCGAAGCTGCAGGCGGTGGAGCTTTTCTTGTTCTACCGATTGAAAAGGTTAGAACTTATTTAATTATATATATGTATATTCATTGTTTTATTTTGCTGCGCTTTTTTTTCTTTTTTGTGGGTATGCATTTCATTCAGCCAATAACTCAAACTGCTTTCATTATCTCGCTCCATATTTTCTCGAATTCAAATAAAATTGATGATTTCTTTGAATGCGTTGGAGTGAGTTTTCTCTCATACTCCTGGGGTCAATGTCATTTGCTTGACACGACAGCTGTCAGTACCTTGTGTGCCGCTCAAGAGTCTGTAAAGGAACTTTGGTTGCCAAAGCGTCATTAATTATTATGTCTAAGTTATAATTCCGGAGGTGCGTGTAGTTGAAAGACAGAGTTTTCTGTGTATGCGTTGCTAACTGACCTCAAATTTGATTCTTTTGGGTCAGAACCTGTTTGTATGTGAATGCGCAGTTTTCTTAGCGTCACCATTACTCATAATTACTCCTACTTTATACAGAAAGACCGTAAAAATAAATAATTTTTTGTGAATCTAAGACCCTTATGCCTTGAGATATCAGTTGGTTTCGTTTTGTTTGGTTGATTAATGACAAGTAGAATGCCTCTTCCATGGAATGCAAGTCTTCTTAAGCCCAAACTCCATTTTAATTTGATTTTTGCGAATAAAAAATTATTATTCGTGTGTATTATACTCTAAGGAAAGTTTTTCCTTACTGGAGTTTTTGATTTACGTATTATGACTTGTTCAATCTGTCTTCAGAGGGCAACTCAATCTGATCGTCACGAATTTTACCCTGCTCTAACTTTCTTCGGCTTATTTATAGCTAAGAGGAATTGGTTACAAAATTCTATTTCTATGCATTGGATGGGTACGCTGATTTCCTATCAGATCTCAGAATTTTTAATTCATTCGATAACTTTTTTCTTTTCCTCGTTGATGTTTTTGTTGGTTTATTTATGACAACTTCCTATGTGAAGTTCGATTTATGTGATTCTTTTCTTATTTGCATTGATAAATAAATATTTGTTTTTTTTGACAATTAGTTGTTAAAATTCAAAAGCTTGCGTTAAAACGTGACAGTAAAATATTAAAATTTTTTTCTTGTCACTTGACCTAGGGTTTTTGATGAAGTCATTTAAGCTGATGGGCTCTGAAACTACTGTCTCATCTTCTGAGGAGAACACGGATAATGGAATGGTTAAGTTGCGATGGCATAATGTTGAAGCGAATCTTCAAATATATATATATATATATATATATATATATAATATCCTCATATTTAGATGAACTTTTCAAGCTCATTTTCTTTATCTATAGTCATTCTGAAGGAATATGGTATTCCACCGTCTCTGTTATTGATCCTGAGAGGGATCTTCCGCATCACATTGGATGTGGATCGATCTCATAATTTCTGCCAACGATCAAATAAAAGGATTCCGACATAATACGAGTCCCCCATAATCATAATTCGTCTCTCATTTCATCCAATTAATGAAAGGCACATGTGAGCGTGTTGGCCAATGCATTTCCAATTCCCTTTTGGAAGAAAATAATTATCGTTTCTGTTTTTTTTTCCTCCACCCTCTAACTATCCAATTAGAAGGTTAGATTACTGGTTAGTAATAGAAAGAGGAATTATTTTGCCTGGCTTCACAACATCCTCTATTTGTGTTTGAAGCGTGGAATGCGCATACGTCTAATTACCGTCAGTATAATGGTCATCGTGTGGGACAAATAAATAGCGGTCTATCTTCCACTTACCTAAGATAATCTGTAAATATTAAGTTACATATAAGTCATGGAAACACCCTATTCTCATTGACTATAATTCGGATTTACAAATAACGCCTTCATTACTTTAAATTAATATGCTTTGTCATTTAATTTTTTGTGTTCATACGGGGTTGGGGTGGGGGAGTGTATCTTAGAGAGAGGTTCGAATTTTGATTTCATTTCTTTTTCTTTTTTCGCTCTCTCTCCCTCTCTCTCTACATTTTACTTGTCGTGTTGAAGTACCATAAGGGCATTCTATTATTGACTAAGTTACTCCTTTTCACGGCCACCTTTCCTTTGTTATTAAGAAAAAATTGACAAAAGTCTTATTTCTGCGTGTGTGTGCGTGCGTGCGTGTATTTGCTTATTATCGATTTGAAAGAATCAACACAGTCCTATTTTTGCTTCCAGTAGTTAAGACATTGACAGTGATGAAAAGTTTTCCCCGACGTTGTATCTAATATGATTGAATAAAATCATCACAACTGTTACTTAGACGTGATAAAGTCGTTTGGCAAGTTGGAATTAGTTCATCTCCAGGCTCTTCCTCTCCCCACAGGTCAAATAATATGTGTATGTATGTTCCCCTCAAATTGAAAGGTATGAATTCCATTATTTTTCGGATAAATTTTCTCCGAACTGATCAACTTAGCACATTGGGTTGATTCTGGAGTGGGTGGTTAGACGTGCTCTTCGGAAAACTCTTGTGCGCTCCGCTTGGTTAACCAGGGCACTGGCAACGTTCCACTTTCACGCCAGGAAGTCCCAATCACCCCTATCGTTCCGCGCCTTTTATCACTAACCAATTGTATAGGCCATTCAATGAGTCGAGGAAATGCATTTAAACACGAGATTCTGAACCTTTAATGAACTCTTCCACGATTCAACACCATTTGCTTGGGGTGTCATTCTTTCTTTGCCCTCTTCATGCTTCCTCACACACCCCCCCCTCCCTCTCTGCCTCCCTCCATTTCAGAAATTTGTGTTTCTATTTTTGCTCCATGATGGACAGTTTGAATTTAAGTACACTTGAACTGTTTCCCGGTTTGCACATCGATAATAGGCCTCCAAATTGTCATCTGCAGGTGTGGATCTTTCAAAACCTTGTTCAGGAACTTCTTCATCTTGGTGGGGTTTAAGTGTGCAAAAGGTCGTTAGGTGTTGAATATTGTGTAAGGTGTTCTTGAATTGCACATCGTGTGGAGAAGCATTGGCTACAATCCCCTTAGTATTGGATTTTGAACAAGGCCTGCATATCTAACTCGAATACCAAAATCGAAAAAAAGTGAAAAGCGTTGATGTTCTGAAACTGCTCTCACCACCGCTTGACTTTTGGCTAACCGAAATCGGTTGGATCCCCCAACTAAAGTTGCATTGTTTTTTTTTAACCTTGAAGGGCGATGGTAATCACCTTTTCTTTCAATGTAATTGCCATAAGTCGATGTTGAGTGGTAGTGGGATTGTGGTAATTTTTACGTACCGCTGGAAATTGATTTATGATCGAGTATTTCTCCCCTTGAGCACCAAATTTTTCGCCCATTGGCTGCTGCGATCCATGATCACTTCAAGAAGGTAGCGGCTAGCATACTTCTCTGCTCTCCCTGCTGGTGCCCAAGCACTTAGCGGAATGGTATCGACCTCCCCACACCCCCACCACCCACCCACTGTTAAATATAGTTCATTTATAATGTGGATGGCGTTAAATTTGTCACCAGGAGGGGCCTTTAGCACCACCTTTGCGCAGCACACTTGTTGGAAAACGCCTTTGAAAATGAGCTTGGGTGTTATTGCTCCAAAAAAAACGAATCGAAAATATAGTTTGATGAGATTTAACATTACTGATAGATGGAGTGTTCAGATATGTTCAACTGTTTTTGTTTTTTCCTTTCATATTCCTTTCAGATAGTTAAGGCAATACTCAATCTTGAATCGTCATGGTTTAAAAATAGTAGTAATGATCGTGACATTTTACTAACTAAATATGCACTGGTAGGATTTCAGCTCGTGCCATTCAATATCATTCGCTTAGAGGCGCTAGGAACTACATTGGGGGTGGGGCTATTGCCACAGTTGGGTACTGAGATTGGCCCTGCTATAGGGGAAGTACCTAGGCTACAACTTCCCCCATTAAATTAAATTATTTCACCCTAATTTCACTTCGCCTCCTTCCCACTTTTTAGTACGGCCGAGTGGGTCGTGATGCCCCTTTAGTGGCAGGTCATCGTGCTGCCGTGTTGGATATCGAGTGGTGCCCGCATAACGATGACCTCATCGCCTCGGGTTCAGAGGACTGTACCGCTAAGGTGTGGCAAATCCCTGAAGGCGGTCTCCAACCCGAGACCAATCTCACTGTTCCCGTTTCAGACTTGGTCGCGCATCAGCGCCGTGTTGGTCTGGTCAAATGGCATCCTACTGCGGAATATGTCCTTCTCACTGCCGGTATGTTGTGTCGCAGTACTTAAATCATTACAGTGACCTACACAGCTGTGTGTTACTATGAGCAACTTCAGATTTTGGTTATGTTTTTGGGCCGCTTCCTCTTCCGATTATTTGTTCTGCCCCCACCCCCTGGTTATGCCTCTAAATCTCTATAAGCGTTCATTTTGCATATTCCCTGCCAGTTATCTTTCCATGAAAGCAGATAGCGGAATGAATAATTAGCCTTGTGTTTTGAACAACTGTTGCAGAATAAGATCTAATTTCGCCATCACCATTCCACCGTTATTTAATCCAGTTATAAGGTTGAAGGCAAATTAATTGCCATTGGATGTGATGGGATGTGAATAACTGAAAATTAGGCTGGATTGATTGTGTTGATTACACGGCAAATTCTTAATTGGATTTGCCTTTATTCTTTTGGTGTTTTTACCTGTTTACCTGCTTCATGTGCGAGTAATTGCTCGTGTTTTTGGATGTTTCGGTTCCTTTTCTTGTTTTTTTTTCAACACTTGACAAAAAGCCGACTAAGTGGTACCGAGTAATCTAATTAGATGACCTTTAAGGGGTGTTTTTTCTTGTGGTTCTTCCTCTCTCTCGCTCTCTCTCTCTCCTGATTGTCATCGGTAAATTTAGTACAAGAGATTTCATGCTTTGCACAGGCTACAGCCCGGGGACCGAATTTTCTGAAAGTGCAAAAATATTCACCGCATCTTGGTTACACGCATTTAATGGTGTGCGCCTCAATGAGCCTAATTTTGAAGGCAATTAATTGGAGGAAAAATCATCGCCCTTGGTCTGGAATTTTTATAAAACCATTTTTTTTCCTAATTGTTGTCGAAGGAGGAGAGACACTAAGATTCGTAGGCCGACAGGGTTCAACGAGTTTTTGGTAGTACTTGCTCCATATATATATATATATATTCACCTCCCAATTTGAGTAATAGCTTATTGTGATGCCTTCTTCCAGTAAACAAACCCTCTTTCTAACCCAATTATAGGGTAATAAGGCTGGACACCTAATTGTGCTAACTCAAAATGTCAAACAATTTGATTTGTTCACTTTGGTGAATCGTTTGCGTTATGTGAGACAGTGCTCTGTTATTTCGGAGGGAACTATTTGGTCGTTCGGAGATTAGTAAATGTTGACATGAAGTATTGTTAATTAGAAATGACACTTATTGGGAAAGTGGTGCTTGCTTACTGTAGCAGAATCCCTCCCTATGATTAATTGGGGTTCATAATAAACTGACCCGTTTCAATGGCAAGAAGCTTTAGCGCATTTCGCATTAAAAAAAATATAAACTTATACGTGCACCATGACGTAGAGGGGTTAGATAGGTCATGGAAGAAGCGCAGATAGGCTTTCGGGTTCCTGCTCCGAGTACTCCACAAACCCGCAGACATCTCCTGTTGGCTTGTCAATGCTTAGGTATTTTAGTTGTGGGCTTTGTGTGTCGCTTACCTGACTTGCTACACTCTTGATATGGAGTGGTTACTAAGGCTTATACGCCCCCCTCCCCCCCCATTACATGAATATCCGTTTTGATTTATCGCTTTTAATGCAATTTGGTGTAGGCAGAAGCCATAATTTTTTCATTAGTAGATCCTCCTTTATTACCGTGGTTATCACTGTTGAGGCATAAAAACTGAATTGTTTCGAAGCGTATGCGTCTGAGATCAAAAATGCCAAGGTGGGGGGGGGGGGGGGGGGGCGGGGGAAGAGGGTGGTTAGATTGATGCCAATAATTAGTCAAAAGGAACTTCGGCTTACAAGTTCTAGCACTTTTATTTGTGAGAGGAGTCGGCGAGGCTCAATGATTCGACGATCCCAGTGTTTTGTTTTTACTCTTTGTGTAATTCACTTGGTTGGATTCCTTTTCGATTGCTGCTGTTTTTTGCAAAGAAGGACGCTAAGTGCCCTGGAATACCAGCGCGCACTGACAATAACATCGAAATTGGTTGAATAGTCTCCTGTCTTGGTTTGTAGGTGCGGACAATATGATTTTCATTTGGAATGTTTCGACTGAGGAGAAATTGATCAGCATCAACTTCCCTGACATGGTACTTTCAGCCAGTTTCAATTGGAATGGCTCTCGTCTTGTCACCACTTGCAAGGATCGACGCACGCGTATTATCGATCCTCGAAAAGGCACCATTCTTAAGGCAAGTCAGGAGGCAAATATAATACTTTTTAGTGCGGTTTTATATTGGAATTAATAGACTAATGGCTCGCCTCTCTGTGGATTACTCCAGCTTCAATTAAACGAACTGAAATTTTTTTGGCTTCTATGTAGTATTTCCATCAAATGGTAGTCTTTATGATAGTTATCATTCATTCGGTCTTCATTAAGAGCAGGAACATTAAATTCACAAAAGGTATAGAGGGGAAACAGAAGGGTGATTTAGAGATTTAAAAGAGACAGACAGACACAAAGGTAGAGAAGAAGGTATTTGTATTTATTTATTTATTTATATCAAATGGTAGGTGTTTTGATAGTTATCATTAGCCCTGGAGCTGACTTCGGGAACATCGAGGTGACAAAAGTCGAGAGGGGGAATAGAAGAGTGATGCACAGATGTAAAAGAGACAGACAGGCAGACACAAAGGCATTAAAAAAGGTAAGATGGGTACTACGGAAGGGGTCGAATATGACAAATAGTCGTGCCATAGTAGTTTGAAGTCAGAAGTCAACTGCCGATCAATAGACGTTTTGCCGTATGAGTATACGTTGCTCAGGGTGCACTACGTGGAGGTAAGTCTATCGCACACCCCACGGTGGTATAATTTTAGCCCTAACTGATTACTTCGAATGATGAGGTAGGTCCTACCCCAAATTGTAAATAATCGCTGGGACGTCTAGCGATCATGTCTCATTACTAATTAGCAGCTTCTTTCAAAAGTGTCCCACTCTACTGACTTGCCGATTTTATTGCAAATTTTATTTAATTATTAATTGGTTTTGCCTCCCCATAGGACAACATTTGCCATCAGGGCACCAAGCCCCAACAAGCTATCTACCTCAAAGATGGTCGGGTCTTCACCACGGGATTCTCTCCTATGAGTGAACGTCAATTCGCCATTTGGGCCAAGGTGAGTCAGTGTTTGATCACTCCCATCTGATTGCAGTACATGAAGAAGTTGTCGTAGTGTCAGGGATGCCAGCTTAGTACTTCCCCCCCCCCCCCCACCCCCTTTTAACTACCATCACGTTCCTTTTTTCCCGGATTAATGCAAATAACTCCCAGGCGTATTGAAAGAGCCTTTTCTCATAGTCGTTTTTTACAAAAATTTATTATCCAGAAAGCCATTGCAATCTGCCTCCTGGATTACTGTGTGTGTGTGTGTGTGTGCGTGTGTGCCGATAAGTGACAATTTCATGGTCTCCGTCTTCGTGGACGTTTTCTAACACTCATGTTCCATAGAGAGGCAGTATTCTAAGCTTTCTCTCTCTCCGTGATGAGAAAGTTGAATTTGCCCAGGGTTGCTAACATTGTCCGTTCTGCACACTGGATGTGAATCGATGCACACATCTTGTGGATTATTGCTCACACTTCTACTATTTGAGAAAATTCTTTGGAACGATTTCACTGCCGCCTCTGTTGCATAGTCATCAAATGTTTGAAATTATGTTTGGGGGGAGGGGGGCAATTTCTGACGTAGTAATTGCATTATATTCTAGACGTTTTCGTCCTTGTACTTTAAGTCTACACGCCAGCTGACTGACTGCGTTACACACATCAATTTTTTGCGTAATTACAAGGTGAATCATTTTGGTGTATGCGCTGGTAAGTCAAGTGGAATTAAAGCGTAGGAGGTGCTGCCCATGATGATAATTGGTGGACTACCTTCCCTCCTCTAACCGGTAATATTTAAGTCGATGGAGATTATAAGGCAACTATTTATTGCGATCAGAAAATTTTCAATTTTTTTTTTCAACTGGGCCTAACTCTGTAATCACCTATAAACTTGGTTGAGCTTAGATCAAGCTAATAATTGATCACTAATTAAACCAATTGCAACATTGGGTTATATGCGACTGCAATAAAAGTCATGTTTGATTAGCTAGGTTGATTGGAAAATGATCGTCTTGTCTTCTTGTGATGCGCAAGTCAAATTAACGGCTGTAGTTGTATATGCATAAAGCCTATTGAAAACCGATCGAATAAAGGTGTACTTTAAAGTATTTATATCAAATGGCAGGCGTCTTGTTGGCTATCATTGGCCCTTTAGTTGACTTCAGGCTTCACAGAGAGGAGGAGGAACATCAAATTGAAAAAAGTCGAGAGGGAGGGAGGGAAGAGAAGTGTTTCAAAGATGTAAGAGACAAACACAAAGGTAGAAAAAGGCGAGTTGAGTACTGTGGAAATAGTCGAATATGGCATAGAGTGAGGTGATGGTAGTTTGAAGTGAGAAGTCAACTGCCAGTTAATAGACTTTTTTGCCGTATGAATATACGTTGCCCAGGGTGCACCACGTGGAGGTAAGTCTATCGATCAATGCTCCATTTCTTAGATGGTTCATTTAGGCGTCAGATTCCTCCACCCCCCCCCCCAATCTCGTGATTTTTAGCCCATAATTAAACGTATAGATGCATCATTCACTGTGGAAATGCGGATCAATTTGCTCAACGATTATCATTATACCATTATTAGTGTCACAAATGCTTTGTTAAAAACCTCTTTTCGATTTCGATCTTTAGTGTGAAATGGTGGGTTGGGGGTTAGGGAGATGCAGGCAGTGAAACTGGCTCTTCAAAAGCCTTGTGTTGTTTGAATCATGGAAGCACTGAATTGTCCGTATTCCCATATGGAATAAATGCAGTAATGATAGAATCCCTCAGCGTGGAGTTATAGTCTGAATACTGCAAGCACATATCGATATATGAAAGTAATTTCATGTGAACATCCACAAACCAATTTCGGAGCGTAATTTCTTTTCGTAGACACAAGCGCCTGTGTGTGTGTGAGTGTGTAAGTGTAAAGGACTGCAGTTTCGTCGCTCTTGGTGTTTGTATCTCAAAGTTCAATTTCAGCGTTCACTTCATTTGCGCAGAATCGGATAGAGCAACAAAAATCTCGCCGAAAGCTGCATGCAAATTCCTCATGAAATCACGCACGCAGCTTTCCTTCATTAAACTCAATTACTTTCTTCCCATTTACTTAATCTAATTGTGTGTTTGCTAATTGTAATCAACTCTTTCACATTGCATACGTAAACTTTCTACCTCTCTATCTATCTCTCTCTCTCCTCCTTTTCTTTGTTCTAATAGGACGATGTGGAGACCAGGCTGGTGGAGATGGATTTGGATATTAGCAATGGTATTATGTTCCCTTTCTACGATCCTGATAGCAATCTTCTCTTCCTCTGCGGCAAGGTGCGTTTCATACTCCTTGTTCATCTGTGTTCATTCTTTTCTTCAGTGCAAATTAAAGTAATTGTGACAGTTATAGCAGGTTGCATCATTAATTACCAATACCAATGTTGCGGTGACCCTAAAGCTTAAATGTTTTCACTTTCGTCCATTTTAATGATTTTTCGCTATCAATTCGTCTCCTGTCTTGTGAACCGATTATCGATTTTTCACATTATGTAATTATTTTTATAATTGTGTTTTCATGCCGATTGAATAACGCTCCTACTATTATCGATTTTCTCCTGATTAAAACAAAAGATAGCTAGCGATGAAGAAAGTTATTGAGTATTCTAAGGAATTTTATTTTAGAATTGCGGAGTAGCATTCTCTTTGAAGTGCTAATACATAGGGCTGATTTTTGTCTTCCTACATCACTATCCTTATCCAACCTCATTATCAATGGAGATTATTTTGACATGTGTGTGTCTTTTAGTTTTCTCCCTGAATGTTTAAGCAGGGCAGACGTGTCGATTTGGTGGGAAAGATGTCCCATTTGAATGAGATGCGTCACATTCTGTCAGATATTCTTTAGGGATGCTTGCCAGTCTTTTTGTTCTAATTACTAAATAAAGAGATGACACCATGTGGCCAAAGCAGGATAATTTATTTGCTTCCAAGTAAACTTCCTCTCTTTTTTTGATGTGCTTGGCCGGCAAGTTTGAAAGTTACTTCTCCTGTTATCATCATAGCCTCTTCGTTCTTAGTGCCATTTTGTGTTAAGATAAATAAGGACTTCGGTGGTGGTGGTGGTGGTGGTTATTTGAAATCGCATCGAATTTCACTTTCCTTAATTTTGCCTTATAAAGCCCACTTCTGATCATGACCTTAAGCGCACGAAAACATGCATCTTGACTTCCCAAAGTTCAAAAGATGGCGTGGTGATTGCGCTCTCTTCCTCATAGCTACGGGTTCGTTAGCTTGGATTTATCCACATAATATCATTATAGAAACGTTTCGGTAATGAAATAATACACGTTTCGCACAAAGGTCTGGATTTGTTTTTCCAAAAAAATAGGAAACTACCTGTGTGGTTGAAAGTAAAATCTTTGCCGCTTGCGGGTGTTCTATTTCTCAGCACTTTGTTCGAAGACAATCGTGCACTCTTTAAATGGTATAATTAACTTAAAAATGACTTACAATTTGTAGCAGAATAATTTGATTTCTTGTTACCATAATCCAGTCAATTCTACTCTTTCAGATCTATTAGGAAAATAGCTGTCACTGTGTCATAAAGTTGAGTTTTGTCTTGAGCGCCAGCTTTTCTATAATTCTAAACGCTGTAATTACTTTCTCCAACTCTAAATAATTATATAAATTCAAAATTCGGGAGGAAAGATCTCGATGTTATTTTAGTATTTTAATTGGGTCGTGAAGCCCCTTTCAAGATAGATCTCTCAACACTGATCAATCGAGGTTTATATTTATTTATAGCAAATGGCAGGGGAAGGAACATCAAATTGAAAAATTCGATAGGGAGGGGGGAAGAGAAGAGTGTTTCAAAGATGTAAGAGACAAACACAAAGGTAAAAAAAAGTGAGGTGAGTACTGTGGAAATAGTCTAATATGCCATAGAGTGAGGTGGTGGTATTTTGAAGTGAGAATTCAACTGCCAGTTAATAGACTTTTTTGCCGTATGAATATACGTTGCCCAGGGTGCACCACGTGGAGGTAAGTCTATCGCACACCCCATCGAGGTTTATATTATTTAATTATCTGCTAATAGCCATCCAAAATCTGCCACAAATCTTCTTCGTGCGAAAATGACTCCATTAAACCAACATCAGTAAGAAGGATTCGAGAATCGAGGCAATTAGTCAAGGAAGCAAAAGGCTTAATTTGAATTGTGGAAGTAGTGAAGTGGTCATGTTCTCATGGATTTTCTCCCCGATTCGAGGATGCGATTGTGTTCGTAATAATCAAATCATGTTTATTAGTGCTTGGTCACGATACCTTGGTATCAGTCAGTTTCATCATCGAAGGACATTTTCAAGTCAAAAGTCACCAATTGTGTGTGTGCGTTTTATTTTAATTTTTTCCCTTAATTTAATTCTTTCAAACTCTAGGGTGACTCGTCTATGCGCTACTTTGAATTGACTGACGACGAGCCCTTCATCTTCTTTATTGACACAATGACCAGTTCAGATCCCCAGCGTGGTATTGGTTGGATGCCAAAGCGTGGACTCAACGTCTGTCAAAATGAGATTGCTCGTTTCTACAAACTTCACACGAAAGGATTTTGTGAGGTGATCTCCTTCACTGTACCTCGAAAGTCCGTTCTCTATCAGGATGATCTCTACCCTGATACTGTTGGAGACACACCCGCTCTCTCGGCGGATGAGTGGATGTCTGGAAAAGATGCTGAACCTGTTTTGGTAATTTCTTTTTTTATTTAATAACCTTTTGTTAAAACCCTGCCATTCTTAATTGCATTCACCTGATGATTTGGCTTGTAAAGGCGTTTTGAAGCTAAGTTGCAGAGGTTCTTGGGCGCTTTTTATTCATGATGATAGCCTAAAACGTTCAAGTTGTTGATTGGGGTGAACTGCAGAGAGGCTTCTACGGTTTTGGCGAATATAATAATTAAATTTGTTGAACAGGTGTCTAAACTCTCTGATTTTAGACTTTAAAGAGGGGGGGGGGTATTAATGTAGAGAGGATTTGACATCAAAACGTAGGTTCTCTAAATTCAAGCTTTTAACTTGACATTTTCAGACATATTTCTGCTATTATTGAGTTTTCTTAAAAAAATATCAGACTGCATTTTTTATTCTTGTTTGCTGGTCAAGGACATTGGATTCTGAAGGTGGCATTTATTTCGTTCCGTGTTCAGATATTTCATTCATCTATAATAATGATTGACTTTACGTCGATTTCTCTTAGGAAGAGTACAAATTATTTCCTGTCCCGGGGGGGGGGGGGGGAACTTTCTCAAAGCTCCCCCCCCCCCCACCCATCCTAAGTAATCTATAATCGATCATCTATCTGACAATTACTGTCAATCAATGGTTTTGGTCTTGCCTACCTGTTAGATTTGAAACCGAAGACAACTGAGCTGTTCGCATTCAGCTCCATTAATAATACTCATTAGATCTGTAAGACTATTGGTTGAAACGAATGAGTAATTTATCAAATACCATGGCAGTGGTTGCGATTCAGTACTGGCTCGCTCAGTTTCTATCAAAGTGCCTGTTCAATTCTCAAGATGACAACTTCAGAAAGTTGTAGAATAACGAAGTATTCCAGCCCTTCCCCTGGATGTGTCTCACCTAGAGAGGTCTTTAGTTGCTATTGCTTTTGCATCAAAAACGTTTAAGGCTTTAGGCGCCCTTATATAGGTAAAGGTTATTTACTTCAATGTTTATTCTTCACTTGAAGAGAGTAGAGAAGTGGACTTTTCCCGAATTTCCCAAACGAGCGGACGCCCGCTGTTTTCACACTCGGACGGCCCCAATCGCGCTAAAGCACTGCGTGGTGCGTCGGTGTGTGTGTGATGCGCGCACGATCGAAACCACTGCCCATATATGGCTGTGTGTGGGGAGTGACCTTCATGTATATTTGGCGCGTGTGTGCGCCCGTCAGCCAGCACACATTTATCTACTGTGTGTACACACTGGTGTGTGTGTGTGTGCCCACACCTTTTGACGCTTGAATCATCCCTTGAAACCGCATCTTCCCAGTATCTATCGTTGACTCTTCCCATTGAGATGAGACCATAACAGTCCATTGTGCCAGCTGTCCGGTGTCGCAGTGGTTAAAGTTCTCGTCTATGAAGGTAGAAGTCATGATTTCGCTTACCCCATTGGTGCACATCCGGTGAATAGAATGACCAAGAGGGCCTCCAACACCTTACTTCTTTGCTCAAGATGCGCGAAGGGGAAATTTTTTTATTAAATGAACTAGGGTGATTATCAGGTGGTTATATCATCAAAATATCACGGGCACAGCGTGGTCACAGCGTTTAGTGCCCACATCTACCAAGTTGGTTCCCGAGACGTAGATGCTCCTAGGCGCACGTTCTATTACTTGGATGGGCCATCGACATTTTCCACTCTGGTCGAGTTAGCACTCCTCTTAATGTTGGTTGAAAGCCAAAGCATATATATATATGTCGCATATATATATATGAGTCACTTACTTATTAACTAGCCTTAAGCTTCTTCTTCTTCAAATTCTTTTTCTCACACACCAAAAACAGTAAGCTTTTGAAGATTGCGACATAGATGTAAACATTTTGAAAGAGTGCAGCAACGTGCTTCATTAGGATGGGGTGAGGTTCAACATGCATAAAGTAGGTACTTAGGGTGAATTAAGATGAATGAGAGCTTGCTTGAAATGCACTGAAGCTTAATATTGCAGAAGAGTGGAACAAATCGATGCGAAACGTCAGAAGTATCCTTCGGTAGATACACCACTCCTAATACAACTCGCAATTATCAGAACCTTAGGAAGCCAATCAGATTTCTGCAAGCGCTTGTCATGAGGCCTAGAGGGGGTGCATTTTCTTTCAATTCTAACGGGATAATTTCTGCCGATTTAACTAGTCATAATGGTAAATCTCTCACTCCTCTTTATGCGTAGGCGAATCGCAGATGGCAGGTATTCAAAATAAGGGGGGGGGGCCTGACAGTGTCTAAAACCTTTCACCCATCGTTAGAAAACATGTAGCTAAATGTGATGCACTTGTGTTTATTTAGATCAAATGGCAGGCGTTTTGATAGTTATCATTAGCCCATTAGTTGACTTCAGGCTTCACAGAGGGGAAGGAACATCAAAGAGGAAAAAAATCGGGTTGGGGGGGGGGCAGAAGAACGTTTGAAAGATGCAAAAGAGACAAACACAAAGGTAAACAAAGGTGAGGTGAGTATTGTGGAAGTGGTGGCATATGACATACAGTTGAGTGATGGTAGTTTGAAGTGAGATGCCAACTGCCGGTTAACAGACTTTTTTGCCGTATGAGTGTACGTTGCCCAGGGTGCACCACGTGGAGGTAAGTCTATCGGACAATATGGGTGGCGGGGTATTGTATTCGGATCTTCCAATTTGTTTTCTTTTAATCTTTCAACTAATTCACAACTAGAGGGAATGAAAGTGTTTCCTGCACTAATCGAAGCGCCCTAGGGACTTTCTGTTTGCCCTCTTAATCAAGAGCCCTGGCATTTCGCGCTGCACTGTGTTTTGATAAGGACAAATTCGTTTAAGCTACAAAAATATCCCGAAACTCGTTTGCGGTCAACTGAGGCAGCCTAATTTACAAAATATTTTCTTCCTAAATTGCAGTGCTACTGGATGGGGAGAAAGAGAAATAGAATTGCCATGGACATGATTTGCATACTTGACAAGTATGTGACAGGCTTCATTTGTCTCTCTTCCTCAACCAAATTGGAGTTGATTGATCCGAGTCGTTTTTGTTCTTTGAATTTTGGCAAAATATCTTTTGATAGGCACTAGAGGACTTACTTATTTTGTGATTGGTTCAAATTGTTGAGGAAGATATTTTTGATTTGTGAAGAAAGATTATTAATCCAATTGTTTTAATCTTTTTTTATCCTTATGGAGTGGTGTTCGATGGTTAGGGTGTTCAAGGTCGCGAAATACAAGTGGAGAAGAAGTGGTTTCCGAGTTACCGTAATTGTATTCGTTGCACATGCTTTTCACAAAATGAAAACAAAACTTTAAATACCTATTAAATCATCATCATTTTTGTTTTCACATCAAGTGGCGTTTTCGTATTGTTATTTTGACCATCAGAAATGGCCAGCGACCGAAAAATTTTATCACGAACTAGATATTCTCATTCTATGGCTCTCGTTTTTGGGTAAATTTGTCCGGTAAGGCCAACGTTTGGTGTAAAAATTGTAAAGCAAAAAGTTTCGGGATACAAATACATAAACTTTGTTCATGTACTTAAATTCTGACGCCATAGGATGGCAATGGAAAAGTTCCCGAACCTGTGCTTTGGGATCGTTTACTGATGCGCTACAGTTCACAGCAAGGACAAAGTTGGACAAATTGATTGATAACTTACATTTACTGGGAAACGGTGAATGCAATTTTTAAAATTTTATCTCCGAAGGTGAAGAATTCTCTTGAATTCAAGTCGTGAACTGTTGCTCTACTTCCTTGAACTCCAAATAATTCGAATGTATATTTATTTTCATCAAATGTCAGGCGGTTTGGTAGTTGTCATTAGCCCTTTAGCTGACTTCGATCTTCACAGAGGGGCGGAACGTCAAAATGTGAAATATTTGAGAGGTGGGGAACAGAAGAGTGATTCACAGATGTAAGAGAGGCAGACACAAAGGTAGGAAAAAAGGTAAGGTGAGTACTGTGGAAGTAGTTGAATATGACAAAAGAGTCAGGTCATGGTATTTTGAAGTCTGCTTTTTTGCTTTTTTGGTTGGGGAGGGGGGGGGGGGGGGGAGGGCGGTACGATAAGAGATTGACAGATTTATCATTATTGAGTTTGTTGATGAGCGACCGGTAAATGTCATTAGGGCGGAAAATTAGCATGGATGTATCTTTTATTGACTTCCCTTTCCTTTTATTGTTCTTTCTTTTCTTCCCTCAGATGTCCCTAAAAGAGGCCTTTAATAGTGGTGGGGCAGATGGCGCCAAAGGTGGCAAGAAGAACGGCAAACTCCTCTCTTCCAGACCCAAATTAACAGAATCCAAGTTGTCTGGTGGTGGCAGTTCCCACACAGCCTCTGGTGGTGGTAACGCATCCTCAGGAGCTGGTGCAGACTCCAACAGAGGCTCCGCAAATGATGCCGTCGACTCGGGGAAACCGGTAAGTACACCTCGACCTACTTTGTCATATTTAAACGATTGAAGCCGATAATCAGGGGCTATTATCGTCTAAGAGTGGCTTAGTGCCATCGCTTGTTAAACATCTCAGGGACTTGAGTGTCGAATATTTACATCAAACTCCTAGTCTTTCGATGTCCTACTTTTGCGGTTGCGAAGCGTTTCCCCTGATATGTAACAGGCGATGCGATTGTATAGAAGGACTTCTGCTCTGAATTAGATGATATTTTAGAGTCACCTCAATTTGGTTAATGCGCTACCCTAAGCTCCGCTTACTTGATACACTTTCAGACACGTATCCTAATCACGTCTCAACCTTGCAAATCCGTGTATAGCACACGAAAAGAAGGAAAGATAGGTGCTAATGAAAGCCGATTATTAACTAAATTCAACAATGTTAAATTCGCATTTCGTATCGATAAATTTCGTTATATGTAGACCCATTCCATAATCACTTAGGTAAATCGAAATTCCATGGTCAGTTTTTCCAGGTTTCACGCCTTCCTAATGCACTATCTTAAACATTTATTTATTTATATCAAATGGCTTGCGTTTTGATAGTTATCAGTAGCCTTTTGGTTGACTTTAGTCTTTACGGAGGGGAAGGAATATCAAAGTGAAAAAGTCGAGATGGGGGGGGGGACAGAAGAGTGTTTCAAAGATGTAAAGGAGACAGACACAAAGGTAGAAAAAAGGTGAGGTGAGTACTGTGAAAGTAGTCGAATATGACATACAGTGGGGTGAGGGTAGTTTGAAGTGAGAAGTCAACTGTCAGTTAATAGACTTTTTTGCCTTTATGAGTATACGTTGCCCAGTATGCACCATGTGGAGGTAAGTCTATCACACACTCCACTAGCTTGAACACACAAGTTGGTTTCTAACACCGATGGTGCACACCACCGATATCTATACGCCTTAAAGTGTATGTCCGCACAATCTCATTTTCTTCGACGATTAATAATCTTTGTTCTGTCGTCTTTATTCTACACTCGCGTCCTTCTTACTACTTCCTCCCTCATTGATCCCATGGGGGCGTGGGGGAGGGGAGAGGGAGATATTGATGCCTATTTTTAGTTGCATGGGATAACTCTCGCATATTAAATTGCTGTGGGACTTTACTTTTCGGCAAATGAAAAATGCCAGCAGTTGTGGGACAGGTGGTGCCTCTTAGTAGTAGTAGTAAAAAATTTCCACTTGGTCATTATTCAAATTCCGCGATCTTGTGAGCTTTTTGCCTGTTCGTTTTGTTTTGTTTTTTTTTATTTTTGGGAAGAAAGAACAAAGGCCATAGTGAAGGGTATTTGGTTAGAATCAAACACACGCCTAGTTAAATTCAAGGTTAATAACTTTGAACAATGTATGCTATTTTCGCCTTATATGGGGGCTAGTTTCAATTAAAGTACGCTATCACTCGTTCCCTGTACAGGATTCTTGAAGGAACGTTAAATGCAAATTTAATTGCTATTCTTCTTCTGCTTGCGCATTGTAGGTCGATCTTGGTGGAGTGAAACCAGAGGAGATCCAACAGCTAGTAGACGATATGCGAAAGATGAAGATTATAATCAAAGGCCACGAGAGACGAATAAAACAACTTGAGGAGCAACTTAGAGACGCTGTTGCATCACAAGCTCAATAATTACTACTGAATTCGCCATAGCCAAGTTCCTTCTCTCACTTTTTAGTCTCCATTTTCGGTAATTGATTCCGTTCGTACGTCTGCCTGACACCTGACAACTTTCTGCTTCATCATGACGCCAAAACAGCTCCTTATACATCTTTCTTGAATCCCAAAACATGTCACTGCAACCACTACTCCTCTTGACCTGACTCGCAATGCATTTAAACCCCTCCCCTCCTCTCTCCCCTTCCCCTCGGCCCGCCTCACTCCTCCCGAAAACGATCTCCTTTCTTTCACGATACTAGAACACCTATCTCTCTCTCTCACTTTGAGTGTTCCTTTTCTCCTATGTCGATCCCTCTAACCTCCTACTCCCCCCACCTCCCCACCTCCTCCTTACATTGTGCCTATTTGCAGAAAAGAAATATGAGACTCATTGATATCAAGCTCTTGCAAAGTTGACTAAGATCAGGAAGTTGCTGCGAGCTTGAGCTTATTTTATTCTCAATGAGTTCGAGACTGAGAAAATATTCCTCTCTTACGGGAGTCTTATTCTTCTTCTTCTCCTTCTTATTGCTGGTAAAAATAAGGGCTTTGAATGGAATTGAGTTCCTATTAGAATTCAGTGAAGGAAATATTGATCGGCAAATGTGCTCTTAGTGTTAGATAGAATGACAAACACTTATATTTTTATTACAGTTATTGTCGATTGAGCAAAAATCGATAGGTGATGACGAAGGTGACCAGGTGCACAAATAAATATTCATTTATATTAAATGGTAGGCTTTATGATAGTTACCATCAGTCCATCAGCTGACTTCGGGCTTCACAGAGCGGAGGAACATCAAAGTCACAAAATTTCGAGAGGGAGGGGGGTGGCGGAACGGAAGAGTGGTTTACAGAAGTAAAGGAGGCAAACACAAAGGTAAGGTGAGTACTGTGAAAGTGGTCGAATGTGGCACACAGAGTTGGGTCATGGTAGTTTAAAGTCAACTGCCGGTTTGTAGAATGTTTTACCGTAAGATTATACGTTGCCCAGGGTGCGCCACATGGAGGTAAGTCTATCACGAACCCCACACATGAGCACATAAAATACCCTCAAAATCTACGCAATATCAACTTCGGGAATACGAGCCTTCCTATACTTTCGATTCAATACTGCTCAAGCGTATGATATTTGAATAGTGTCTGTGCTAAAGTACTCCCAGAAACTGCACATTTTCCGATGACCCTTTTAAACTAGTGGACTTCGTGAATCGTATTTTGAGTGGAAAGAACTACACTTTTCACTGTGATGCTCGGATTGCAGCGCATTTAATTTGATTAATCGAAGTGTGTCACATGAAAAATGAAAATGACCTTAATCTGTGCTGGCAAGAGTCATTGGCCTTGAAAAATGGCTCTCCACATTTTTAGGTGATGCCAATTCCCTAGGCGCCGATGTATTGAATAAACGAAAAGCCAATTTTTTTTCGCCTATTTTCTCGCATTAATTCCTCTTTTTCCTCATTGTCAACCATGATTTCAGCCGAAATCTTTGATTTTTGACGAGGTGTGCAAGTGAGTAAGACTGATTTAATGAAACCTTAAAGTGCTTGTTTCTAATAAATTAAATCAATCATTATTAGCTCACAAGTTAGGCGTGGTTAGGGTGTTTATTCAGTAGAATTCGAATTAGCACTAGCATATGAACGAACAAGTTGTATTGGCGGCATTTCGCTTTTGCCTTGAATATCTATATATACATCGGACTCTCTTACATCTTTGATACGCTCTTCTGTTCCCCTCTCCTCTCGACCTTTTTCACTTTCATGTTCCTCCTCCCCCCTCTGTGAAGCCTGAAGTCAGCTAAAGGGCTAATGATAACTATCAAACCGCCTGCCATTTGGCATAAATAAATAAATATATGTTTTCACCTTCAAGCACAAGCTTCTTTATCGATTTTTTTCGATACTTGTTGCATGGCTGCACCACGTGGCTATACCTGAATTCTGTTCAGATTACTAACCAAAAGCCAAGCGGCTTCTCACGCACACTTAATGACCTATTTCAGCTTCCGTTCTCAGCTGGTTTAATTCATGGCATGGCTGTACGGCTCACTGTGAGTTAAAACAAATAAGCAATCATTTGCAGACTAGGGTACCGTTACGAAGCCTATAATTGATGAAAATGTTTTTACAGGAAATGGCGGCCGTGAATAGTCACCCTTTTTAACGCCCAAACAAATCTTACTTAACCGTAATTACGGTTGAATTTAGTTGATATATATATATATATATATATATATATATATATAT